AACCAAGTTTATCTTTCCAGATTTCCCCTAGTTCTAGCATGCATTCAATTAGAGATCAAGTAACTGAATGTAGAAATACTTTCAAATTCAAAACAAAGAACAGAACCAGTGCATTACAAAAACTACAACATAGGTTGAGGAGATTAACCCCTGGAAGCTGTTTAGCTACTCATACTGGTTGAAGCTACTCATACTGGTTGATGCTACAACTACTATTTCAATAGACATCATAGAAGTATGCATCAATGAAAAGAAATACAAGCTAACAGTTTAAGAGAAGTAGACATCTTATGCAGTTCAGAGGTCACTCCTGGGAGTGACAGGATTCACTCAGGGGACTGAAGCAGTGACTGAGATGGCTGCTCTTCAACATGGCTTCCTTACTGAGTTAATGTTGTTCTTCCTTCCTTCTTGCCTTCTTTCTGAAGTTTTTCTGTGTGTTCATGGCAACTGAAAGGTGTAGCCAGAGATGATTGTTCTGTGTGTGCATCTCTCCTTTTATACTGCTGGATGCCGGTTCTTCTTCCAAGAGCACCTTCCCATGCCTATGTATTCTTTATTCACCCCAATGTATTGTATCTTGGACTGGTCTTTTGCTCTCCTTCCAGAAGTTGTATCAGCTGTGGCATTGATTAGCTTGGGAGGCTGGTTTGTCGGCCAAGGGGACAAGCATGCCCTTGGGTTCTTAAGGAGAGACAACTTCATTAATTGTGTGTAGGAGATGTCCTTGACCAACTCAGCAGAATTTGAATTCTTCAGCTCGTTTTTGTCTCAACAGCCTTCCTTTTTCAGCATTTCTTCACTCAGGTCCCTTCCTATGCAAAAGCATGGAAACTAGTTAAGTAATATGGACTTATTCAATGAATTGCCCCTCATTTTTCATTAAATTCAGAGTAAATGGTAATGTTTTTGTGTAACAAATTAACCACTATCACGGTTCTAATTTATGTTGATGATATAATTGTGGCTTGGAACGACTCGCTTAAGATTGGTCAGCTTAAGCAGTATCTTCATGGTTGTATTCATACCAAGGACCTTGGTCCTCTCAAGTATTTGTTGGGCATCGAGGTTGCTCGATCACCCACTGGGATTGCTCTTAGTCAGTAAAAATATACATTGGACATTTTGGCTGAATGTAGACTTACTAGATGTCGTCCCAGTTAATTATACTCCAATGGAACAACAACATGGGTTAGACCTCGATGATCTAGGTTGATACCGGAGCAGTGTTGGGCGTCTTCTATATTTGACTATTACTCATCCTGACATTACTTATGCAGTTCATGTTCTTACTCAATTCATGCATCAGCCACACCAGCCACACTTTGATGCGACATTGCGGGTTTTACGTTATTTGAAGATGGCGCCAGGGCAGGGTGTATTTCTATCATTTGATAATTCTCTACAGCTACGGGCATATTGTGATGCCGATTAGGTTGAGTGTCCTACCACTTGTCGGTCTATTACAGGGTATCTTGTGTTCATGGGTTCTTCTCCTATTTCATGGTGATCAAAGAACAACTTGTGGTTTCACGTTCTTCAGCAGAGGCTGAATATAGAGCTTTGACAGTTGCCACCAGTAAACAATTGTGTGGTTGGTACAACTTTTGACTTAGTTGGGAGTGCCTTCAGTTTATCCAATTTCCCTGTTCTGCGATAACTAGGCAGCTAGTGCTGCATATTACTGTGAATCCATTTTTTCATGAGTGCACCAAACATATTGAGATAAATTTTCATTTTGTTCGGCAACATTTCAAGATGAAACTGCTTGTGCCCCATCCGATCTCTTCAGTTTACAGTTGGCAGACCTCTTCACCAAAGCCTTGGGTCGTGATCGATTTCATACTTTAGTATGCAAGTTAGGCATTAAGAATTTGCATGCTCCAACTTGAGGAGAGTGAAACATGTAAATCGTAAATAGTTGTGTATTTACTGTTACTATTAGGGTTGTGATTCTACAACTCAATCTGTATAAACAACCACATTCTGTATCAATACAACGTGTCATTTTATCATCTCTTTAGAATTTGGAGGAAATTAATGGGAGTTGGAATCCCTCCATTAACAGTGAAATATTTTATTAATTTTTATTGTTGGTTCGTCTTTGATCCCCAAAAGAAATTTAATTTAATTTAATTTTTTAAATTTAATATAATTTAAAAAATCATTTTTTTCTCTCTCCTCCCACCTCACGCTTCTCCTTTCTTCGACCCGAACACCACCTCACCACTTCTCCACCAGAACCACCACCACTTTCCTTCTTCTATATCTCCTCCACCTCATACCAATCATCACCACTGGATTTGCACCAAAAGCGAGCAGAAACAAGAAGCAAATTCCAAATAAAAGATATGAGTTTTTCACCAGAAAAAAGAAAAAAGAAATATATTGTAAATTAGAAAAAGTAATGGAAGACTAAAACAAAAAATAAAGAAGAGAGAAAATCTTGACAAGTTAGTATCCATTAAAATAATATCTGAACTAATCTCATTAGGATCGAATGCAAAGTATTCACTAATCTAAACTGTCACAATTGCTAAGGGAAAGAAAAAAAATTAAAGAATAAGAAAGCAACCATCTTCAAAACTCGGATTTGGATACTCTTTTTATCACTGCGGGGCTGAAAGGAAGAGTTACAACATTGCTTCAGAAGTCCAAACCTGATCTTGGGCAGAAGAGGTTTGCGAGTGAATGTTGCTGGTTGCCACTACAAACCTGTTGACCTTTCTGTCGATCTCATACTTCTTGACTTTTCGACAAATTAAATAGAGATGTTAAGTAGTTTGAGCTGACCTGATTGTTGACTTCAACATTCCTGAAGCCAAGCCCGACGAATGTTGCCCAGAATCCGACGAAGAAGACTGACGGTGGCGTTGATTCACTCCGTTTCCGGGCATAAATGCCTGAATGAAACCATGTATTTTGGCACATCTTGGGGAGTATTTTGGCGTTGGGTATAATGATTTTCGTTCAATAGTTAGCTAGATTGACATTCAAACGTATCTAAATTCCAACGAACAATCCAAGAAAGATTTGACATAATTACGGCATATAATTAAAGAAACAATCGGAAGGATCTGAATCGACTGAAGATGAAAAATCATTGATGTCAAATTTGGCTCGATTTGAGGGTGAAATCGATGTAAAGATGCAGCGGCTGGAGGAATGCCAATTCTCCTTAATCTCCTCCAAATCCTGTCAGAAAGATCAAAATTGGTAAGAAACAAATTCAAGAAAAATTAGTAGTGGCTAGATCAAGCTACCCCTAAACTTTGGAGACTAAAACAGGATTTTGCCCTATACATAATAAAAATAATAAATATATTTTTTTTGAGAAATAAAAGATAAATTCATTAATTTGCTAAAAATCGTCTAGTAGCGATTTATAAAAAAAGATAAAGCCATAAAAACACAGCTTATAAACATCACAATGCCATTATTGTATTTTACTACATGGATAAACCTATATTGATCTACCCTATAAAATAATGGTTCTACCACATGCCAGACTAATCCGTTAAAAAATGGTTGTACCACATACCAGACTAATCCGTTAAAAAAAAACAACACTAACCTTCGGTTGAAACTCCCAAATCGTAGATCTATTATGACTAAATCTTCTTGGATCATACCTGTCAAATTGACGAACAAATTCAATGAAGCCGTTGTCGCCATACCTCATACATCTCTGACGAAACCGCTGCCATACTAGCAAACATCAATAAAGATGCCGCCATACCTACAAACATCGATAAAAATATTGCCGTCATATTGTAGATTATAATTTACAAGTCGCTTATTAAAACTAAATCAAAACACAATAAAAAAATCAAAGAATATTAATAAAATTATTTTCCCCATCTTTCTACTTAATTTTCAAGATTAATTTTCTTCTTTTAGGGTTTGAAGGAGAGAGAGGCGGCCAAAGAGAGAGCCAGAGAGGATTGGCACGTTAGAACTAAATTGTTCCCTCTTTAAAATAATAAATATATATTTATTGTACGTAATTGGAAAAAAAATAATTTCAGGTGTACTAATTAATAGCATCATTCACTAAAATAAAACTCTTCATTGCTATTACTATGTCTCAAAATGTCAAAAACTAAAATTGAATGAAACAGAACGTCTTATCCATCGTTGTTTTATTTACTCATTCTCATTCAAAAGCTATGTGAAAAAATAAAAATTAAAAAATGAGAACAAGTAACAACCTCACGATTGACTATCATGGCTATAACAATCAATCCCATTAAACTAAGGTTCAAAAAGGAGTCCATCAAATTGCATTATAATGATGATCATCATTCATTCAAAATGATGTGCACAAAAAGACTTTGAACATTTCCTTTTTGCCTCACGAAGTGACTTCCAAATGGGGCACAACAAATTCGAGTATTATTTTATTGCGCTTGTCAAATTGATGGATGGATTTGACAAATCTTAAGGTCACTATTTCACCAATAATAATAATGAATCCATGGAAAAAGTGCTTTGATTCATTACTAGAAAAAAATTTTACATTTTTTTTTGGCTTAAACCTATAACAAGCCTAAATTAGGCCTAGTTAACCTTGACATGGAGCTCTAGTATTGATTTTCCCTTTCGGATTGGTTAAGCTTTTTTTCTTTTCGTTTCTTTTTTTTTTTTTTTGGGCTCCTTAATTTTCCTCTTAATCACTATTATTGTAACAATCATTTATTGCATATTTGAGGTAGGAAATTTGACAAAATCTCATACTTCGTTGGAAACGTATTTAAAAATCAGTCAAGGCTGACTGCAATCATGTTATAATACATTTTCAAAAGAGATAGATTGCAACTAAGAGTAGGTTTGATAAAAATTGGAGCGCAGTTTCAAATGTTAATACTAAATTGATGTTAATATTTATGCTTATCATTAAGGGATGGATGAATCTCTAGAGGACTGTTTTTCTTCATCTTAGGGTAAGGAGCAACTATAACTAAATGCAAAAATATAAGAAAACAATGTCAAGAGTCACCCAGATTATTATTCCGTCATAGTGATTGTTACTTTAATTACGACTCTAAGTAATCTAGTACTAATCCACTAAACTGTAACTTGGCTCGCATCTCTATTTGTACCCAAAACAAAAAACAAAAAATAAAATAAAAGAAAATATAACAATCTAAATAAAGAATTTGGTCCTAGGTACATTATGAGGTGCAGGTATTTTTAAACAAAGGAAGGTGGGCTAGAGTTACAAATATTTTTATCCCCCACTCGTAAAAGAGTCTCTGTCCCATTCAATTTCAAACAACATCAATCTCTTCAATCTTACTGAGTTTTCCTGTCATGTCGGATTAGATGTACTTGTTTTCACTGTTGAAGCTTCTGTTCCTGTGCTTTCTGTCCCATCCACCATGCACAAAATATATTCCACAAGGAATGGACTCCCGGCAACTGCTCCCAATCCAAACAATTTTTTTCCTTAAGAAAAATATTAATTCATTATCTGCACTTTTACTCTTTCTTTCTTTCTCTTTTTCCTAAAACTTCTGACTGTCTGTTGTTACTGCCAAATTTTAACTACATTCAAAGGTACTGTACCCAGCATTCTTGTTTTCCACTATACTAGCAATTACAGTAAAAATCAGCAAATATTTTTTTATGAAAAAGAAAGAAAAAAAGCCCACATGAAAAAAAAAAAACACTGATCTTTTAGTAAGTATAAGATTTCTGGTTGCCACTCCCAATACTTTCCTGTGTGCTATAATAAACCTTTATTAACTTCTTCAACCGAAGCTGTTACGGTCGCGGTAGTGGTCGCGGTGGTGGTCGTGGCAGTGTTACTGTTAACCCAGTCGTAAAAGCTGAATGGATCCAAGCTTTTATTTTCGGGTTCTTCGTCGCCGGAATAACCTTGGGTGAACAAGAGATTGAGAGGGCCGTCAGCTTCTAGTTCACCTAAGTCGGCGAAGAAATCTTCTGAATGATTATGATGATTCAGTTGATGATCCGGTAATGAAGGCCGGTATGTCTGTTGGAACCCTTCGTCGAACTGAACCTCCTGATCTTGATATTGTTGTTGATGATGATCCACTTTTATACGCTTATTACTATCATGATGATGATTATGAGTATAATCTATTTCTTCTTTCACAACTGCGGGGCGCTTGCTGGAATTTGGAGCGGAAGACTGATTATGATCGAGTGCGCTCTCTTTTTGAAATTCTTCCTTGGCATTTGCGGTGGTTTTCTGAGATTGGTTCGACGGTTTTGAAGTTGAACCGGTGGTGGTGGTGGTGGTTTTGGCGGTGGTTGTCGTCGGCTGGTTTCGGGTTGAACCGGCTAGGGCGTTTCGTTGAGTCGGCCATGGATGATTGTGCTCGGAAGTGTAGGTTATCACCAACATGTTTGGATCGGTTCGGCTTCTTTCCACTTGCTTTCTTGCTGAACAACCTTTTGAACTGCTGCATCTGTAGTAGCCCCTGAAATTATTTCAAAAAAAAAAAAGAAATTTATGATTCTGTGGAAAAGCTGGATTTATTGAAAATTGGGAACCCTTTGAAAAAACATGAACAAATTTTTTTGAAATGGAAGCATTAAATGAGCCTTAAACTATTGCCTTGGTTACCAAACTTTCCAACAAAATACCTTAGAAAAATATAACTCAAGATACGAGTTTTGTCAATTATACTAGTGATGAAAATATTATAGTTTTCTTTGTCACTAGGGAAAGAGTAATTTGTTTTTGGAAATGTAGTATTGGTCATGAACGCCTTTCCAATATTTGATGAACTGAAAATTGGACTTTTTTTTTTTTTGGTTCATGAGGACTGTCGTTTTCTGGGTAATACGAGGAACATACCTTGGATAAGGAGAGCCTTTAATAGGTTTCTGTCCGTACTTTCTCCATGCCCAAAGATCCGATGGTACCATTTCACCGCTGCTAGGCCGGCTGTTTGCCGGTGATGGCGCCGGTATACAAACGACCTTCTTAGCTTGAGTTTTCCTGTAATGAAAAACACACAATTGAACGTGATGATGAACCCAATAAGAAGTAATTTAGAAAGTCTGAATTAATCTCTTCCTTTTTTTTCCTTCATTTTCTTTTTTCTGGTGGTACCACTGTTTGAGTTCAGCTTTTTTGAAGAGAAAAATGATGAGTTTTTTTTGGCGGTTTCTTTCTCCTTTCATTTCAACCAAAAAGTTCTCACACATATACCACAACAAAGATTCAATCCAACATGGTAGATGGAAATAACACCATGATTCATGAAGACGAGTCTATCATTACGAAAACCAATTGCCTACATCCTTTTTTTCATGTGTGCCCAAATTGCATGATAAAGATGTCCAATTTTGCATGATGGTTTTCTCATCAAAAGACTCATGGAGGAAAAGAAAAAAGAAAAAAAAAGGAAGGAAATTAAACATCAATCCTTTTTTTCTCCCCAGAAAAAACAAACCTGCAAACCTTAGAAAGTCTTATCATGAGGAGTAAGAAGCGCGGTGAGGGAACATGTACACAAACTTCATTAAACATCAATCACAAAAACCTATGCTTTTCTTTAATTTAATGAAGAAAAAAAATAATCTCTGCACTTACTACAACACATAAACAATTAAAACTACGCCATAATTGTTTCTCAAAGATCGATGCTTTTGGTAATAATCATGGTGAACTGATGATCATTCATTCATCAAGTTAGCAATAATAATGACAACTCTTTTTTTTTTTTTTGGTTTACCTTCTCTTTAAACCCGTATTTCGCGGAGACGAGATCTGCTGCTGAGCTCCTCCATTTTCCACCATGGAACCTTTGGAATGATTCATCCCACTATTATTATTGCTGCAACTTATCAAGTGATGATCATTAGTAGTAGTAGAACCTACTAAAGGTGAACCAATAACCGGCCGTGGCGAAACCGGCAGCTTAACACTATCCATAGAGATCTGAATCATATTCTTCGTCGTCGTCGGGAAAATATTGTTGTTATTATTCTTGTTGTTGTTGTTGCAAGGCTGCTGCTGACTTGTCATGATGGTCTCCGATGATGGCGAAGTTGTAGCAGTAGTAGCAGTAACAGCAGTGGTAGAGCCAGCGAAAAAATCCGAACTCGGGATATTTAAGAAGAGTGGATCTCGCATGTTAGAGAAAGGATCCCCGAAATCATCAACCATCTGTAAGAACCCGCCTTTGGAATTATGATTATTATTATTGTTGCCGGAAAACTGCCACTCAACCGCGCCGGAGCCGCCGGCTGCGGAGGAAACGAGTTCGTCTTCAGCTGCTGGAGGAGCAAAATTTGTAGTATGAGTACTTCTTGCTAGAAGCATGTCGGTTAGATCACCTTGAAAATTCTCCATCTTCTGCAACAAACGGCTACACATGATACCCGGTGAAGCCGTCTTCTTCTTCTTCTTATATTTTTCTTGTATTCTTTCAGAGGGGATTTGTTACACAAAACATGTGACTTTTTTTTTGAGATTCTGGTTGTAGATTAGGCTAATGGAATGAACATATAGAGATGGGTTTTTCTTTTTTTCTTTTTTTTTTTGTGTTTGCCCGGATTGAATCACCAACTTGGAGTTTGGAGCTGATGTTTGTTAATTTGTTCTTTCACTATATCAGACAAACAGGAAGAATTTTGATGCTGGAGGAATGGAGATAGAGAGAGACAAGAGAAGGGAAAGGTTGGGATTGGAGATAGGGAGAGAGATGGAAAGATGGAAACGCTGACTTTTTACATAAAAACAGCAGCCCTCCTCAATAAGTCGCTAACAAAGATGTAAACAAAGAAAGAAGTGGGGGGACAAAACCGGTAATAAGAATGGGTAAATTAATAATTAATTAATTTTCTACCTCTCTCCCAAGAAACTCTTCATTTTCTTAAACTAAAATACGTAATATACATTCTATCTCAAAATAATTATCTTATTTGAATTTTTATTTTAAAATATAATTTATACTAAAAATAAAATTTCAAATTAAACAATAATTTCGGACAGAAGTGAGTACACCAAAACAAAATAGAATTTTTTTTTTTTTGAGATTGGGTGGGGTGAGATTCATTAATATAATATGGTATCATCAAATGGGTCAATCCTCTCCAACTGTTTTTTACTTGTTTAAAATTGACAAATAAATTAGCATTATTTATTTTGTTGATCTCGATCATTGATCATCTGGCAGGGAAGTTTGTTTGGTAGTGCATTATTTGATTCCACAACTGGAGAGAAATTTGAGACCCAAAAAAACACATATAATAATAATAAAAAAATCCAAATTTTAGAAGAAAGAAATGAAATAATCCAGTCGCTACTAGCTAGTATGTATATAAATATAATTGCCAGTAGTACCTATAAAACATAGAGCAAATATGTGATGAAATGAATGAAGAGAAGTATGGGGAAGAGGAAGGTGGCGGCAAGTAGCCGCATTTGACGGAAACGGTGTGGAACGTTACTATTTTGCTACAGCTATTTTGTGTTAACACACTGTTTTCTGTCTTTTCTCTCTTATTTTGTTCCTCTTCTTTTTTTTTTCTTTTGTTTCAGTATACAGTCAAATTTATCAGGGGAAAATGATATAATAACTTGTGTAAATATGTTTATCACTCACTTTATTAAAACAATGATTACTAGTTTTTCATGAAAAAATAAATAAAGAAAAAATTTTATGAGCGATTTTACATTTAAGAATTTGAAGTACAAAGATTAACAGTGAAATGATATTATGCGGTAATACTATAGTGTTTGGTAATGCAATTAATTTGCTTGCAAATCATCGCTCTAAAGGTATATATATCAGATTAAAATGTCCAAAGGGAAAAAAAAAATCTAAATAGCGAAACTCTTTTAGAATGGCTGGTTTAGGGTTTTAATCGAATTTCCAAAAATATTTGAAAGGACGCGCATATGTTTATTTTTTAAGTAGTGTTTCTTAATGTTAGATATACAAACAAAGTGACAAATGGAAATGGGTTGAGAAATTTTTTGGAATAGAGCGTAAGTATCTTAATTAGAGAATTCAATCACCTAACATATATACAAGCAAGATATTAGTTTTCTTTCCGTTTCAATATAGATAATTAATTTATACAATGGGAGGAATTTTGGAAGCATTTTGGTGTATTCAAAATAATTAGTGAAGAAAGACAAGTTGATCTGTCAAACGTGGGGTGGAATCGGGTCTGGTTTAACATGCTCAGAATTATGTAATCACCATCAACATCTTATCATGGATCAAATTATTAATTGTTGCGTAATGATTAAATATTTGATTATTATTTGTTTTCTCAATCCTAACAAGTTGAAGCATGCCCGTAGAATGTTCACTAAATCCGGAAAGGAAGATCGCAGTTTAATTAATTAGTTTCTTTTTAAATAAAAAAGAGTAGTTTTTCTGAATCTTTTCCTTGTAGCATACTCCATATAATGCCAAAATCCTTATTTAACTAAGTTCATGTTTATTTTATTTTATTTTATTTTTTGAAAACGGTACCTGTATTAATAAGAAGTACTTATACTATTAGGACGCATTCTGTTATAAGCGATATTATGCATTTTCATAACGTCTACTCTCATAAAATAAAACTATTCATAAGCGAAACTAACGAATGGACTAGCGTCTGAGCTTCTACTGGAATACTCGCCGTTCATAGGTCAGAATTGAGGAGTTCACAATCCGAATATCCCCGAATATGCGTGATTCCAAGATTGGCGGCCTCCTGTAGAGCAAGAAAATATGTCATGGCTTCTACCTAAAAGGGAAAGAGTATTTGGATGTCCAGTGCTTTGAGTTGCATTATCATGCCATTACTGGAGGTGATTTTCCAAGCTCCAGCAACACAGTGGTTGTGAGGGTTAAAAGAACCATCCATGTATACAATAGCTGTAGGAACCGAATTCCGATGTGGCGATGCAGGAGATGAAACTGCAACCTGATGTCGTTGGAGATTTCGTCTATGAAGTTTTCTGTGCAAATCAAATTCCTGTTGAATCAGCCTCCATGTTGTGAGAGGATCATGTAAATTTTATCGTTCCTCTCTCGCCATATGCGCCAAAAGGTAAGGATAAACATGTCTACTTCATCAGTGGAAGGATTAGTCTGAATCCAATCAGAGAACCAATGAAAAAGACATTCAGAAGTGCAGTTCAGCGTACTATTAAATTGAGGATAGCTGAACCCCCAAATTGCCTGGGATGATGGACAGGTGATGAATAAATGAAGCGTATCTTCCGCTGCTTGACAACACCGTGGGCATAAAACATCCAAATTGATCCCTCGTTTATGCAGACCTTGCTTAGTCACTAAAACATTGGTCAAAGCACGCCACGGTAGAACTTTTTGCTTTGGTTACACCCGGGAATTCCACAATCTTTTCTGAGTGTTTTTCCTGTAACATCTGGATTATGTGGTTGTCTTTGTGGATGTGGAGCCTGGCTAGTGACTGCAATCTGGTATCCTGACTTGATTGTGTATCGTCCATGACTAGTGTGTCGCCACAGCAGTTGATCTGGTTGTTCTCCTCTGGCCGGATCAATGAAACATCCCCAAAATGGCAGGGATGATTGCAGGGGAAATATAGCTCAAATCAGTGGTTCCTTCCATTGACCACTGGGAAGAATCATGTCATTGAACCGAAATGCAGAGTGTGTAGCCATGATTGAATCAGGGGCAATAGGATTACTATGGTCTGGTATCCAATCTTCAGAAATCCTGATGGATGTGCCAGAGATCACCTTCCATTTGATATTAGTATGAAGGAGCTGAGCTCCCCATAAAATACCTTTGTATTACCAAGTGCAGGAGTTTGGCGGCGTACGATGGGAAAAGGGACGGTCTCCACAATATTTGGCTCTGAATAGTCGAGATAGGAGGGATTGTGGTTCTGCCATAATTTTCCAGGCATGTTTCGCTAATAAAGCCTGATTAAACTCCAAGGTGGATCGAAAACCTAAGCCTCCATGAAATTGAGACCTCAAAATCTTCTTCCACGATTTCCAATGTATACCCTTATCATGCGAATCACCTTGCCAAATAAAGTGCCCAATGATCCGGTCTTCTTCTTGAATGGTGTGTTTTGGCAGTTTGAAAACACCCATTGGATAGACTAGCATAGATGATAGTGTGGACTTAGCCAGTTGTATTCTGCCTGCTAAAGTCAGTAGCTTAGTCTTCCATCCTTTTAGCTTCTTCCTCAGTCTAGCAGTGAAATCATGAAAGATAACTTTCCTTTTCTCTTGGAAATCCAAACTCATGCCCACGTATTTACTCTGAAAAGGCCCAGGAGGAATTTGTAATGCTGAATGAATAAAGTCTCTATTTGAAGTGGAAGTGTTCTGACTAATCATGATCGATGATTTCCTGTGGTTGAGTTTCTGCCCCGAGAAATGTGTATAGAGCTCAATTAGTTCTCCTAACGCTGAGATAGCTGATGGTTTACACTCTATAAAGAATAAGCTATCATCTGCGTACATTAGGTGGCTAATCCTTGGTGCTGCTCTACTGATTTTAATCCCCAATTCTGGTAGTGTGTGAATCTTAGTTCTTATAGCTGAAGAAAGCAACTGTTGACATAGTTTAAACAGATATGGAGAAAGGGGAAAACCTTGCCTTAGTCCTTTGTTTGGCTTGAAATAAGGCAAATCCTTACCATTAAATTGAAGGGAATAAGTAACATTCTAGACACAGAACATTATCATTCGAATCAGATGTGGTGGAATTCTAATTTTCTCCATTACAGCTTTGAGAAAAGGCCACGCTACCCGATCATACGCATTGCTCATATCCAACTTGATAGCTGCCGATCCAACTGAGCCAGATTTTTTCCTTATGTGTTCAATCACTTCATGAGCAATGAATATATTTTCACTAATGTTGCGACCTGGTACGAAACCATTTTGGTGTTCATCAATGAGGTCATTCATGGCATTCTTTAGTCTAGTGGCAATCATTTTGGTGATGATCTTGTAATTTACATCACACAAACTAATTGGCCTGAAATCAGTCGGGGCAGTTGGACAAGAATGTTTTGGGATTAGAGCTAAATGTGTCTGGTTCCACTCCATAGGGAATTCCTGATTCTGAAAGGCCTCTAAAATAGCTTTGGTGACATCTTGACCTACGATGGATCTGTATTTTTGATAAACTCCAGCTGGAATACCATCTGGACCTGGAGATTTCCATGGAGTTATTTGCTTGACTGCATCCCAGAGTTCCTGTTCTTGAAAAGGCTTACCTAAATATCGGATTTGTTCATCAGACAGCGTCTCATCCATATTATCTAGTAGGGAACATAAAGTATGAGAGGATTGAGCATTAGAGGAACTAGTTTCAATGGACATAAAAATATCGGAGAAGTGCTGCTGAAACAGTCTTGACACTTCAATCGGATCTTGCACCCAGTCACCATTTGAATCCTGTATTTCTGTGATCCAGGAGTTACCTTTCTTCCTGTTGGCCCATTTATGGAAAATTTTTTGTGTTTTTATCCCCTTGTGTTTTCCGAATTATTTTAGCCCTTTCTTGCCAGTACTCTTGTTGATCTATCATGGTAGATTCCAATAGCATTCTTTGGTCTCCTACTTTATGCAAAAGAATCTCATTGTGTTGATCATTTTCCCACTCATGTCGTGCACGTTCCAGTTCTGCATTGAGCTTTGCCACCTTCTTGTCTACATTACCAAATTCCTTATTGCTCCAGCGTGTGAGAGTTTGCGGACTTTGATGAAGCTTCATGGATACTTCCTGTTG